CATCTCGATCCTCACCCATTATAGGCTATAAGCGAAAAAAGTTCAATTTGAGTAGTAGTATTTCGCTAGCCACTGTGGAGGCATTAAATCTCATGAAAGCAATAGGTACTTTACTCCCTTATAGAAGGATGAAGCTTAGGTATAGAGCTCATGTTATGCACATACATATGAATGACAAAATTAACAAAGTAAATAAATATGAATGAATAAAAAAACTATACAAAAAGTTTAATTTTATTAGGCTTTTGGCTAACACAAATTTATTTGCTAGCCTGACTCTCGGACGTCCCCAGAGAAGTCATCAAATTATCATAACGTCTAGATCCAGGGATCTATCGCTAGATATTGACTTGAAGAAGTCGCCACCAATCTTTTTTATCTAAGTTCGATTGGTCACCTAAGAAATTTATCTTTTTAAAGAACACCTAAGCTTAAGGGTTCCTAAAAGAATATGTTCAGGTCTACTAACCAGAACAGGGTTCGAAAGTTCGGTTACGTGTGAGGAAGGTTATAGCACCTTCACAACGTCCATCGAAAGATGGTACCAGCTTAATTTTGTGCTATCCAATAAGCCTTAAAAATTTATCAAGTAATTAACTATTGAAAATTATTCTCAATTGACTCTAATACTTTTAGCAAAAAATTAAAAAAATTCCCTCACCTCAAGAGTATATAAGGAGACTACTGTTTTACTTACAGAGGCTCTATCATCAGATTATTTAACATTAAAAAAATTCAAAAAATAAAAAGAAAAAGAAATAAAATAAAATAAATGATTCAGCTTTAGATATAAATTCTTTTTTCTTCAAAAACTCATTGCTTTTGTACAAGAAAAATTGATACTTTCAATTTTTTCCCAAAATATTTTTCTCAGACTTTAATTTTGAAAAAAATTGATACTTTCAACTTTTCCTCGAAAATATTTTTTTTTGAAAACTTATTTGCAAGAAAAATTGATACTGTCAACTTTTCCTTAAAAATATTTTTTAGAAAACTTATTTTCAAGGAAAATTGATACTTATTTTCAAGAAAAATTGAAACTTTCAACTTTTCGTTAAAAAAATTTTTTAGAAAACTTATTTCCAAGAAAAATTGATACTTTCAATTTTTCCTCAAAAATATTATTCTTAAAAATTTTATTTTATATTTATTTATTTATTTATTCATGCAAAAAATATTCCAAAAAAATAAACAAACACATAAAAAATTTTAAAAAAAACTACAAAAAATAAACAAAAAAATTAAAAATACAAAAAAAATCAAAACGGTTCGGTTGGAGGGTTGACGCAGCTCAGCTCCAAACAAATAAATCAACTGAAAGGAACGACTTAGAGGATATGGCTCAGCTCGGCTCAGCAGCAGGTTTTGGATTATAACATATGTGAATAGTTAATTTTTCATCAAGGTCATCTTTCAAAAAGGATGTTGCTTCTGCAACTCCTTTCACAGTCTGGCAAAGCACCATGGTAGAATTCTTGAACGCGGCCTCACTAGCCCACACATAAATACCCATTACTTTGATTCCACCCACCATCATTCTTGACATTCGACGAGCATGTTCAATGACCCAATCCTTGTCAATGACCAAAGAAGAGGAAGAATCAAATATCTGAAATTTAGGTTTCGAACCATTTTTTTATTGTCTTTAGTTGGCTCCAAAATCGAACAAGCTGGTTGTCCAGCATTGTTTTAAGAAGTGGGTATTGAATCGAACACGAAGCCTCAATCGAGAGTGGAGCTGAGTTTCTCTATCACCAGACCAACCTGGGTAGGAATTGAAGATTGGACGAAATGATCCTTAGCTAGCTAGAGTTGTGTTTCCTCTCCAACCACAGTTTTCACCATGATTTCGAGTTAACAACAGATCGAACTACTTTAGATTCAAGTGCCCCTTTTCATGGAAGACCTATTTGCTAATTTCTGTCACAAACTATTCATTACCTAATTTTTTAAATTTAAACAGGCCCCCAGCTTTGTGCGTAGCAGTTCTAAACAGCTAGTTATTGAACAAATCTAGGGAGCCAGTGATCATGATCCGAGCATTATTTCTAGCTTGCACAACTAAGGCCAATGAAATGGCAGATCTAGTAAGCAATGGAGCCTCAACAACACCTTTAAAACTAGGCCATTAGCCATATTTACTAAATGTGCATTCCCTTTAAAAAGTATTTGCACCTCAATTTTGGTTTTTCCAAAAGCAACATCAAATTGGATAAAATCATCATTGGTAATCAATGTATGGTCACCCTCAATTCCAAAAATTGCATAGCTTTTGTGATTAATAACCATTGCCGATGAATCCTCATTAAAATCAACTCCACATTCAGTAGTAACGTTCTTAATCAAATCAGATGCAGACACATCAGCTGCTACTATCAAGTCATGACATGAGTCAACGAAGTTAATCACCATTGCCAAATCCAAAGATCCATCAAACCTTTCGGTGGAAGAAGAGAGGAGAGAGAGACGGATCGTGGGCGAGTTTGAATTCAAGGTTGAAGCCACAGGATTTCAAAGAGCCCAAAGATGAAAAAGAAACAAAGGTTCTTTCATTTTCACTCATTTCTGTAGCAGCGACGACTTCTTTTTGGCTTCTCCTCAATGTCCCTTCAAATTTTTTGTAGCTTTTTGCTTTTGTTTTCTGTGTTTCTCCGGTTGTTCTCGTGTTCTGTTGCCCTCTTTCTTACTGTAAATTACCATCATTTATAAAATTATGTGATTGAGTTTTAATGCAATTCTGATTATCATCCAAAGCTAAAAATTAGCACCAATTCTAATCTCATTCTTTCAGCTTTTCTTTTTTAAAAAAAAAAATTAATTAGATAATGGAGAAAAAAAATTAAACAATAGATAGACCATAAAAAAATAAAAATGATAAATACAAAAATAAAAAAATCTAAAATAAAAATGAATAAAAATCCTTACAATCGAGCTTATATTAGTCTCGATTGACAAAAAAACCCCGAACAAAATAGAATGTCTACAAAGAGTAAATCAATAACTAATTAATACATCTTACCATATTAAATATGCTCAATTTTGTTAAAAAAGATTTATTTATACAAGTTAGGTAGTATAAAGATATATTTGTATATTATATGTTACTTTATTAAAAAAATTTTATAATAAAAAAATATTATAATGAATTATTTCTTTTTTTTTTCACTATTTATTCAAACAACGATTGTTAAAATTCAATTTCTTTCTTTTTTTTTTATTAATTTTAACTATTTAAACAAAAGATAGATGTACCATTTTCTTTCTTTTAAAAAACTTTATTTACCTTTCATTTCCTTTCCTTTATTAATATTTACCTAAATATAATGTTACTATAACTATGATTGAAAAAATTCATAGAAAAATTTATGTTGAATGAACCTCATTGGAGTTGGTATTTGGATTTAATAAATAATACGTAACTCAATTGCAACACATTAAAAATGCGGTGGAATCCAAACTCTCACTAAATTTTCTTACTCTAAAATTAATAAATAAATAAATAAAATGAGAATTAGCACTGATGACTCAAATAATACAAAAAAAAGCCTTCATTATTTATAATCAAATTTATAATAATATGTTTAATTCTATAAATTTATCAACACACTATTCAATCTTATAGCTATGTTAGTAGTATTTAAAACTTAATTCATCCGTACTATACAATTTGCATTAATCCTAATAAAATTTTGTTAGTTAAAACACCCAAATTTTCTTTTATAAAAAAAAGAGTGATACATTCAAAAAAAATTTTTTTTCAAACTATTAGAGAATTAATTGTAATGAACCTTAATATTTGTTTCTTAAGAAAATTTGTGACTGAAGGCCTAAAAACATAAAATGACTTGTATATTGGTCAGACTTTATAAAATTACGGGCTTGAAAATATTTAAACAAGCAACAAAATTTTCAAATGTGTTAAATAGATAACAAGTGAAGGATTAAAGATAAATTAAAAAAAAAAAAAAAGGAGTTGAAAACGTGGGAGACTTGAGAAAGGGGCTAAAATGGAAAGCAAAGGCGCCAAAAAGAACGGGGTTGGTGACGTGGGGTAGGCATCAGCAGGAGCGGCAAGGGTCTCTCCAACGTGCCAGGTGGGGTTGTCGGCTAGGCGGTGCCAATATTGCCACGTGTAAGCCTAATATTCCAACAACCATAAATAGTTTTTCCAAGTTTGAATGTTTGACTGCTTTCCTTTTTTTTTTTTCTTCTTCACTCTCGGCTTCTTCAGTCTCCTTCATCATCCTCCTAAAAAGGCATCTCCTGACTGTAACACGTTACAGGTTGTCTTCGCTGACTTCTCCTCTGCCTGCCTACGCTCCCTTCTAGCGAGTCCATCCACTCTCCTGCTTTTTTTTCTAAAACATTTTTCCTTGTTCACGAGGGAAAGAAGGTTGAAATTTTAGGGGAGCAATTGTTTCCCAATCCGAGACTGTTATAAGTATAGTCCATAGACTTCATTATATTTTAAAATTTTTAAATCAAATCATTTTCATAAATTTCATTTTTTAATACTTAAATTTATTAAAATTAAATTTTAATACCATATCAATAAAACACAGGATTGCAGACAAAATTTTCGTTCCTACTAACTTCATGTAGTAATTTTAAGGTAATTATATATATATATATTTGTAAGAAAACATAAGTATGTAATCTTTTCTCATCATTTAGGTTTTATTGTAGTGTTTTTTCCTTTTGTCTAAAAATAACCTTATCTCATCCTTTTGTCATTTAATTTCACCTTTTTTGCTATTATTGTACGCAATAGTACAACTATATCTTATTAGAAATTTCGTTTTAATTTTATTATTTATATTTACATAGACGCAAAAGTGAAAATATTTTAAGAATAAAATGGGCAGAGCAGAATTTATTAAGAGGGGCCAAGGCCTAAGGGCCGACTAAAAATGTGGGTCAGGGCATGGTAGATGAGACTGAGTAATATGGACAGGAAATGTTTCCACACCACTTTTTGCTCGTCTCATTGGGAGTTTTGTCAACCTTCTTCATAAAGTGGCTATGAAGCCAAAGTCCTATTCAATGCTAAAGGCTCTCTTCTCTCTCTCTCTCTCTCTTCATCATGACTTGTATATATTTACGTATATATAACTCAAACAACATAAAAAGAGATGTCATGAAACCCTGAAAGTCCAAACCCAAAACCAAATCTTTGAGACCCATATCACAAAATTTAAGTTTTCTCTCTCCCCTGTTCCTTAAATTTTTTTTTTCTTATTCTTTTGTTTCCTTGTTCTTCCTTCATGTCGGATCATGAATTTAGAGACTTTTACTACCATGCAAGTGCATTCCACAATGATCATCAGCGAAGTGTTGGTGAAACTGACATGTATAGGGTTTCATCATCACCAGTTGATCCTTCGTACATGAGCTTCACTGATTGTTTACACAGTACTTCCATGGACTATGGTTCACTTGAAAAAGCCTTTGGTTTGTCACCTTCATCCTCTGAAGTGTTTTCTTCAGTCGAAGGCTGCAATCAGACGACCGAGCAGCAGGTTGTTGTAGGGGATTTAGGAAATAATACCAGTGAAGTTATGACAAATCCTAATTCTTCTATTTCTTCATCCTCAAGCGAGGCTGGTTGCGAAGAGGATTCAGACAAGAGTAAGAAAGATAGGCAGCCAAAAGCGTCAGAAGATGGAGGTGAAAGCTCTAAGAAAGGGTAACTAAGTTTTTCTTATTTTCTTCATTTCTCTAGGATTTAGACACGGGGGGTGTAACTGGTTGTGTTTATTGTATCTAACAGGAACAAAGCAAAAAAGAAAGGAGAGAAGAAGCAAAAAGAACCACGATTTGCTTTCATGACTAAAAGTGAAGTTGATCATCTAGAAGATGGCTATAGATGGAGAAAATATGGACAAAAAGCTGTGAAGAACAGCCCTTATCCAAGGTTGGTTTTTCTCTTTCTTAATTACTACCAAACAAATATTGAAATATTAATCTTATCTTCTATACAATCAAGAAACTACATACAAAAACATGTCTGAACCTTGATAAGGTTTGCTGCAGTGTGCTTGCATTATCTTTTCGGCCCCTTCTTTTGACTACCAAGATGAGTCAATAACTTGATGGATTTCTGTAATTGTTTTTGCTAGTTACAAATAAAGATCTAAAACTTTTTTTCCTTTAATTAATTCCCTATATATGACTAGCCTTTCTTGGGAAAGCAAGGATTTTCAGATTTCTGATTAACACTCTGCTATCTTCTTTAGCCTGCAAGATTTTCTAATCTAAGGCGCATTTCTGATTTATCAACGCAGAAGCTACTACAGGTGCACGACTCAGAAGTGTACGGTCAAGAAAAGAGTTGAGAGGTCATTCCAGGATCCATCGATTGTGATCACAACATATGAAGGCCAACACAACCACCCACTTCCCACAACACTGAGAGGAAGCGCAGCAGCGCTATTCCCACCTTCACTGTTAACACCATCACCACTGGCGGGGCCAAGCTTCCAACATGAATTATTTATGCAGATGCCTCATTACATGACTAATAACCAAGCTTCTGGTGCAGTTTCAATGTTTGCAGAAAACTTTAGCCCTTTTCAGCAGTACCACCACCATCAGGTGCCTGACTATGGGCTTCTTCATGACATGGTTCCTTCCAGGTTCCTTAAGCATGAACCATGACGCATAAGTCTCTTCTACATCTTTTACTCCTTGTGTGTGTATATACATATATATATATATATATTTAACTACTTTATTATCAGTTTCATCTAACTTTCTCTAGAGCCTAAGAATTATTCTTCAGTTACTGATCCGCAAAGGCCTAACATCAAGGACTAGATGCACGGCAGTGGGAAATGTTTTTCTTTGCAGTTGAAACTTGGTTGAGTTGCCACATACATTTAATGGAAAATGCTTCTTTTGATAGGAGATCAGGGTGAGGAGTGCCATAGTTGTTTTTGAAGGAAAAACCTAGGTTTAAGAGGATTGCAGACTTGTAATACTGGATTAAAGTTGCATTTATGTTTGTTTATCATTATCCTTGATGGAATTATCAAAGAAGAATGCGAGAAATATTATCAACCTCCCTAGTTTCTTTGAGCTAGCTAGCTAGCTAGCTCGCTAGATAATGTGAAATTCTGATCGAGAAAGAGCTAATATTAAGCAAATTCCGGTTTGAACTTTCCAAAGTGACGTGATCATTCCCTTTCCAAGCAGGTTGCAACGTTGAATACATATAAACATGCATGAAAAGAAATTTGACTTCTGTTTCAATAACATTGAACACTGTTTTTTTTCTCCTCCTTACTTTGGACTTTGTAATTTATCTTAAAATACAGGACAAAAAAAAAAAAAGAAAAAGGTGTGCTGAAAATGTTTAAATATATAGCCTAAATGAGAGATGCGGCTAATTCTGAGTCATCCTGTCTGAAAAGGCAAAAACCTACTCCTAATTACGGTGTAATGGCAACTCGCCTAATTAACAACCCCTTTAATTCGCTAGTTATGGAGTACTCTGGAATTCTTTTCAAGGAAACCGCAATTTACGAAAATTAAAAAAAAAAAATTGTAAGCGCTGAAATTGAATCCTATTTTTGTGATTTGTAAAAAGATTATTTTAATTAGTAAAAATTTAGTGTCAGTCTTACCTGGCTTTTATTTAGTTGTCATTTTTTTTTTTTGGAAGTATTATTTAGTTGTCATAGTTAAATTTGACTTGAGAGACATACGAAATTTTCAGTCAAGACTAGAACGAAGTATTATTTAGTTTTGAGGTTACCAAATTCCGGAGGTATAAACAGCTGAAAAATATGGTGATGGTCGCCCTAATGGAGTTGAATATAAGAGTATTGTAGTACTACTGCTTGTTCTGGTAAAGAATTTAGATCAAAATAAGTATAGATTTGAGAAAAAAAAAATGAGACCATAATTTATGTGTTTTAGTCGTTGTCAAATCATCTAACCAACTCAATTTGATTACAAATTAAAGAAAGCAGGTTAGATATTTTCCGGGTGAATCAAGTAATTGCCAAACAGATTACACTTTCATTTGTACTAGATTCCTCCGGCTTGAATTGTAGACTGGGATTAATTAGGTGCTGGGGCATGCATGATGTTGATAGCATTTGGTTTTCATCAAATAATTCCAAGTTTTTGGTAGATGGATGAAGTCTTATTACTTTAATTTTTTTTCTATATATAAATTTATATAAACAAGTAAAATTTATAATCATAATCGTCAATTGTCACATGACCTGTTTTTATAGAATTTTAAATTTTTAATTTCAGTAGCTAACAAAATTCAAATTTTGACAATTTTAAATATAAAAAAAAAATTTATAATCGTAATCACTATATTTATATACGTAAACTTGAAATGAGCCGATATACAAAAATCAATACAAAACCAAATTGAATATAATTATGCTAAGAACATGTGCTATTGTCCTTTCATACTGTTAAAATAATCAGTTGATTGACATAAAGAACTAATTCAAAATTATTATGGTTGAATTCACCTACTGTCTAGACATGGATATTTATATAAGTAGCAAAGTCAATTTCCATTTAATCCTAATTACTACCAATCTTATCATAATAGTATTTTTTTTATCGAGATTAATAGAGTTCCTAATCAGAATTAACATCTTATTGTTTGGGTTTTGACTAGAAATAGATACCTTGTTGAAAGAGATTTAGATATAGTACAATAAGAAAAAATCACCCAAATAAACTTTAAAATTTCAAGTCAATGTAACAATCGATCATATTAACATTTTTTACTGGGTAGAATATAGTACTGAGAAAAGGATTTGTTAAAATAGTATATTTCATTAAGTTTAAAGAAGAAATTGAAGGGGATTCAAACTTTAAATTTCCATTCCTTTATTAAGGTATAATAACTATTAGGAAAATTTGGGTTTTTAATATACTAAAGAAAAAATTTACTGTTACAGTCTTAAACATTATAATATTTTAGATTATTTATTTGAAAATTAAAATATTAAATTAAATATGAATTTATGTTCTATAAATAGTCAATAGAGCTTTCAAACTATTTATATAGAGATCGTTTAAAAATAATTGTTGCCATTAAAATTTGAATTCGAAAATTTCAATTTGAAAACCGATGCTATTGAGCTATACAGTTCATCTGTACTTTGAAGACAAATTTAAAAGCTAGGTCAAATGGATTATCTAATGGGGTTAAGCTAAAGGACCTGCCCATCATTTTCATCCTAAATTGACGCCAAAACAAAAGAAAAAGCTGAAGTTAGGATGTTTGGTTCTACACTTATACAAAGTGAGCAGAGAAAATTTGGGTTTTGGATCAGAAAATGAGAAAATCATATACCAGAAGCCCAAGGGGCTGGTTTTGGTATTTCATAAGGTTTTTTTTCTAGTAGATCGACAATTACGCCTTGACCAAATCCTGCCATGAAACAAGACAACTATTAACCAGTATGTCCATTATAAAGCAAGCAAAAAACCACTTATTTTAATCATTTGATTGAGACCAAAAAATTCCTTATTCTGCACTTTTGCGTGCAGCCAAAGGAAAATAACTTTGCCAATTTGTTCGTAGGCATCTACCAAGGATGTAAAGACCATTTCTTCCATAGAGAAAGAAAAAAAAAGTAAAAAGGGAAAGTTTCCATAAATTATGAGCTGAAAATATTCTATTAGTTTTTGCAAGTAATGAATTTGTGATTTCTATGTAGTAATTTTGGATTCTGTTCTTTCGTTATTGAGATTTTTTATTGATTTATGCATATCTCATGAATTTTTGCAGAAAATGATTTTCTTTTCTTTTTAGATTATAGGCAGACACAATAAGAATGATAGTACTTCTCAGGTTGCTTTTATTTTCCCACTTTGAATTAGTGAAATTTCTTTTTTCTTCTAACACTTTAAGAAGTTTTATGGTAATTAGATTTACATTAGTGGATAGCTTGGTTTGATGAGTGAAGAGATTAATTTGACTCATTAGTTTAGTGACATCGCATAGAATCTACTGAATTATAGTTGACTGTAATAATATCTGTGTTCGTATTTCATAATGCATGGAATCTACTGTGGATGGTATTGGAAAAGTTTTTGAAGTTTTAGTTTATATTTGTTGAAAAGAACTTATTTTTACTAGATTCAATTATCTATTGCGTCTAATTGATAACAACCATTTTTGTTGAGAAACAAACTTTTGTTTCATATTGCAGATTACTTTGCTCACCTAAGCTATAGTGCTTCAAAACAAGGCATGTCACTATACAATGCTTCAGATCGAAAGATCTTATTTTTCTTGCTGAGAGTTAGTGGTAACAGTCACGAGATTGTGTGTTTTAAGGCACCAACAATCGTTTTATCATAACCTATTTTGTTTCGTTGGCATGCTGCAGTGAACCTTTTGGTCATCTCAAAAGTGATTGAAGATGGTGTAGATGTTCTTGACTGTCCTGTTCAAATGACAAAGGATGGAGCACCTATTTGCTTGGACTCTATAAATTTGATAGATAGCACAACAGTTGCTCAATCAATTTTTACTTTTTTAGTAATCTTGCAGTAACAATTCCACAGAGTATGCAATGCAGTGGAATATTAACCTTCAACCTTCAATCTTTAACAGTTTTAGAAACATAACTTGTTGAAAATAAAATTTGTCTCAACTCAGTAAGGATTGAAGTTTGTATATTATGTTGAGTGGGTATTTGTGGATTCTCCTCATGTTTTTGTTTCTGTGCTTGAAAGATTGTTACCTATAACCATGATGATGGAGCATGACTAAAAACCCTGCTTTGGAAGATAATGTTTCCTTACATACGGTACTGAGCATGTAATTTCAGCTAATATATTTAATTATTTATGAAGATGACAAGTAGACATTGGCTTAATTGATTATGACTTATTTCTTGGAGATTCAATTTTCCCTTGGGCCTTCAATCTTGCAGTTGGTTGTCTTAAGCTAAATGCATTGAAATGGCTTATCTTTCTACTCTAGTTTTTTGCAACTTGAATTGGTTGAGAACAGAACAATCTATCTTTTTTTTGTTGGGCATATTGTTCTTCCAATCTAGATTTTCAGAACTAGGTTTTGACGTACAGATCTGTTACAGTATACAGGTGACATGCCTACCAACTCTATTGGAGTATGTATAGAAGGGCAAATTCGTGATGATGGCAGGGTAAATGATTTATAGTTTCAAACAATTAAACGGTTCATAGACATCTGACATGGAGTCAAGACGCCAAAAATTGAGGCATAATTCTGTGCTTATGGTACATTTTTCTAAAATGTCAGCTCTTGAAATATGCCAGCATTTGGTGACATAAAGCTGAAGTACAATGTATTGCATCTGTGGCAAATTTAACGTCCACATTTCCATTTTGGGATGATTAACCTTGAAGTCAAAGAATTTCGTTAGAAATTGTGCTGTCTGAAGCAAGCACTCCATTTGGAATGAAAGAAGTTGAACGTTGTTGTCCCTGACACACAATTCTTTTGCAAAGTTCTGCATGTATTTGCCATAGTGGCTCATTTCATTGATGGCCTTGACGGTGATGGTGAGGGGAATTCGGGTGATGGCGGGGCTGGGATAGAGTTCAATGATGCAAACTATTGGAGGAATTCTTATTCATTTATGTAATTTTTTTTTCTCATCATCGATCTAAGCGGTTATCAAGAATTCGTATACCCACCGACAAGAGTGGGTATTTCCCTAGGATGGTATTAATTATAAAGTATGAACAGAAACAATTTGTGGTTGAAAAGCCCATGGTTTAAAAAGTTTAATAAGAAGCCGTTCAAAAAGGTTTCAAACGTCAGTTTTGATTGAAAATTTGCAGCTTCTTTGATGTTGCCTCGTGTTTATAATTCATGTCTCATCTCTCAAGTTCAACCCTCACCGAGCATTAAATTTGATAAACTTATATATATATATATATGATATAATGATATAATATAAAAATAATATAAAAAATTATATATATTTCAAAAAATATATTTTGTATTTATTTATATATACACGAATTTTGATATAATACAATTTATATCAAATATATATTGACTCATCGAAATGTATGACATTATATGAATAATATGTTTAATTTAATCTTATAATACGAGTACACGTTTAATATATGTGATACATTTAATACATTTTTTATATTTATTTTAATTTAATATAAACATATAAAAATTATTTTAATTTTTAATTTTTTAATTATAATACTTAATTAGCTATTTAATTTCATATAAAATTATTTTAAACATTTAATTATGATACTCATTTAATAATTTTATAAAATTATTTTTTTATATTAATAATATAAATACAATATAAATATTAATATTAATCTTATACATTATTATTTTATTCTTTAATCTTTAATAATTTATCATTTTAAATTTGATACTAAAAATTAATATAGTTATGTAATTAAATTAAAATTTAAATATCTATTAAATATATATTAAATGAATATTAAATTTTTTATTTTTTAATATGTAAGTATTTTTTATATTATTAATATATTAAATTTATTAAATTATAAATAATAAATTATTTATAATTATTTATTATTTTAGTCATATTCTTGTATATATTCGTATTTATCGCGTTTATTT